TGAGCCTCAGTTTCCCCTCCTCTGAAAACACAGAGAACAGCACATAGTCATAGGGCCTTCGTGAGGCTTCAATGCGTTAATGTTTGAACAACAATATGGCAGGGCCTGGGTGGAGTGGGCCCCAGGCATTCATGCCTCAAATATAATTAAGCATTGTTTTTCTCCCTTTAGCAGAACTCAGGCCCGGGACGAAGCTGAACAAGCTTCAGCCAGAATTTAATCCTTGGCCCTTGCTTCTGTCGTGTTTCCTCCTTTCCCCCCTCGGCCTCTTTTGTGTGTGCATGACTATGTGCGTTCATTATGTGTGCAGGTGTGCTTATGTCTGTGTGCCTGGGGTGTGGCAGCCAGGGGATGGCTTTTGGCATCATTTCTGAGGAGCTAGCCACTTTTTTAAAAATATTATTTTATGCATATGTGAGTTTTGCCGTTTGAGTGCTTGGTGACTGTGGAAGCCAGAAGAGGGTGTCAGGTCCCCTGGAACCAGGGTTACAGATGTTTGGGAGTCATCATGTGGGTGCTGGGAACTGAACTCGGGTCTTCTGCAAGAGCAATCAGTCGTCTTAACCACTGGGCCATCTCTCTCCACCACCACCCCTGCTTTTCCGCTTTTTACCTTACCATTCTTTGGACACAAGTTTCATTCTGTTTGGGAAAGGAATGTAAGAATGAATAGAAGTTGCCAACGGTGCGTTATTTCAAAGAGGTCAGCGGCCCTGCTAACTGTGGGGTGTGGCTGTGAGGGCTGTGGGCTGTGGGCATTGCTGGCGTGGAGAAAGCTGTCCTGGGAACAGAGACCATCTGCTACCTGGAAGGGCAGAGCCTCTGGAAACATTCACTCAAACAGTCCCAAAATGTACCCGGAGTAGGATCGGTTTCCGGTGGCAAAATGCTGGCATGACTCACAGGTGAGGAGTGGGTGAGTGAGCCCACATCTCCATGAAGGCCCGTGTCCAGGTGGGACTAGCCAGCAGCTAGATCCTGTACACTTTGGAGGTGGGGCTGCTCCCCCACCTCCACATGGAACATTTTCCCTCAGGCAACAAACCTCCATGGATCCTGCTGAGGGCCCTTCTAGGGCCACCATAGTCATCGCTTGTCCTTACTTGCCCCCACAGGCCTGCCTTCTCTGGATGCCAATGACCCCAAAGGTGAGTCAGAGCCCACCCCTCCACCCCCCTCACCCTAGACCCTGCTGGCGCCTCGGATTCATGGGTGTGTCCTGTCTCTCTTTGCAGATAAGGACAGCCCTTTCTACTATGGTAAGAACCGTGTCCCCTCCTCTCTTCTTCTCAGTCCCACACATTATTTTGTGCCAAGCGGCCCACACAAGGGTGACTGACAGTTCACAGTGACCCAGGGACCACGACAGGAGAAGGTGGGAAATGGGTGGTTGAACATCCAGATAGGTTACAGGAATAGCCGTGAGGGGGAATTCAAGACAGACACAGGACTGAGTCCAGTCCACAAGAGGCATTAGGTTTAGACCAAACACCAGAATGCTGGTCATGAAACTTTTCCCAGACAAGGTAGGGAATTCTACCCCACTCTTCTCCACTTCCCCCTGCCGCTTGCCCCCTGCCCTCTCGTTCTCCACGGACCCTCACCCCTGCTCCAGCTATCATCCTCAGATACAGAAGGCAACCTGACCTGTGCGCCTGCTGGTTCTTCTGCCTGGACCACTGTCTTCCGTGTGTCTTCAGGGCCACCTCTGCCTCCCTGCAGATCTCCGTTCCAGTGGGACCCTCTCAGAGAGCCCTTGCTTGGTCACTCTCTCTAAAGACCCTCATCTTGACTTCCTGTCTCCACACTGATCTTTTCCCTTCAGATGGCCTCTCTGTCCCTGAATGGACATGGAATATCTTGTTTACTTGGTTAGGAACGGCAATGTGCGCACTACTGGGCTGGGGTTTTGCTTTTCCCTTTCACTGCTCTCAAGTTAGATAGACTGGGTGGGGGACATAGGCTGTCTTTGACATTTTCTCTGCTTCCCTCTCAGATTGGTACAACCTCCGAGTC